ACAAGGGGCGAGAACCCCATGGCATCCAAAGCTGGACGGCTTCAAAGAGATGGTGTGTGTGTGTGTGTGTGTGTGGCAAAACTATCAACACGAAGGCGAGGGGAGTAGGTGTGCCGGGAAAATTCTGGGCTTGCGGAATCAGGCGAAGGGCGAGCCCGTGCTGTTTATATCGTTGTCTTTCTCAGAGGAGACTTTGAGTTCTCTGAGCACAGGAGTCATGTTTCATTCATGATTGTACTCCTCAGGAAGTCCAACACAATACCTGTAAGAGAAATTCGCCATTTTTGTGCATTAGGTGCCTACTGTGTGCTTCCATCGTGCGGGACCGCCACCACGATCTCGCTTGTGATGAGCTGTGTGGTCCAGGAAAAACCAGTCCCCTGAATCATTGCAGGTACACAAGAGTCTCCAGGGCCAACATACCCTCTCTCTCTCCTCAAGTCTCTCTCTGCCTCCCCCGTTACCTTAGGGCTCTCACCTCCTCCTCTTGCTTCAAATCAGATGGAGAGAGCTCCACACAGCATCTGATAAACTCACACACACTCAGGTAGGGACAACTGTTAACCACTTGATGCGTTGTTCCTCCAAGGGATTATTTTAACTGTAAGGAAGATGTGAACTCAAAGCAAGTGTTCTTAACCTGGGTTCGCGGGAAGCCTGAGTGTAAGTTCAATGCATTCACACTTTCCTTCCTGGGGAGAAAACACATATCTTTTTATCAGATTTGTCACTGGTCTGTGAATCAAAGACGATTCAAGAAACGGTTCCCCAGAGCAGTGCCGTCCAATACAATTTTCTGCGTCGAAGTATCTCTGTCCAAGAATCACTGACCACCTGTGGCTCCTGAGCACTTAAAGTGTAGACAGTGGAGGTGAGGAACCGAATTATTAATTATATTCACAGTGAACTTCGATTTAAATTTCAGTAGCCATGCACAGCTGGTGGCTCTACCATTTGGAATTTTTTTTTAGTGTTTATTTATTTGTGTGAGAGAGAGACAGAGCATGAGTGGGGGAGGGGCAGAGAGAGAGAGAGAGAGAGAGAAAGAGGGAGACACAGCATCCGAAGCAGGCTCCAGGTTCTGAGATGTCAGCAGAGCCCGATGTGGGGCTCGAACTCACAAACCGCGAGGTCATGACCCGAGCCAAAGCCAGACGCTTAACCGACCGAGCCACCCAGGCGCCCCAAGGCTCTACCATTTTGGTAGATATTAGATACATTTTGGTAGACATATTAGATGGTATTTTGGAGCAGACGAGGGGATTCTTATGGGCAGGGATTTCTCAAGGTCCCTGAAATTTAAAAAAAAAAAAAAATTATCCAGCCATCTATTCATCCAGCCACCCATCCACCCATCCATCATGTATCCATTCGGTCATGCGTGCACACGTGACTCAGCAGTGACATCTGCTTGAGCAGCCATCATGCATGGAGCACTGAAAGAGAACAAGCAAGCGGTTAAGGAAAGTGTTTTGGATTTTCTGGGGACCCGAGGGGCTGCCCAGGATGTGCAGGTGGGTCTCTTGGGGGGTGGCTCTGTATTGAGAAAGGCAGTCCCTACCGACCTCTCTGACGGTCCAGACCCCGTGACACCTGGCAAGTTTGTGAACAAGAGAACGTTTCCTCCCCCTGGAAGGACGTCTGGTCCCAGAGGACGAGGAGGGAGTGGAGAAGAGACCGGGGGTATCTCAGGGAGGAGCAGGGTAAGCCGATGCCTGGAACCTTCACAGTTCACTTCTTACGGATGTTGGGGAAGCAACCCCTGGGGAGCCAGGGAACTTGGTATCTGGCTTTCATTGATTTTCAGACTTCTTTTCTTAGATGTTATCACTAGCTCATCTACTCCCGGGGTTGTGGGGAGGATTAATTAGCTTTTGTGGCTAAAGCTAAGAGACCAGTGCCTGCTGCACGCACCGTGAATACTTTACGAGGGGCAATGATTACTGTTGTGGAGACAGCACCCAGCGAAGGTAAGAGTGCTAGGTGCTCGGTACACATTTGTTGAATGAGCGACCGAGTTTGCCGAGTACGCAAAACTAAAAAGCATCCCGCAGAACCGAACGAAAGCTGAAGGTCAAGGTCTGTAACGGCCTTTGCTTCCCACAAAATAGCCCAGGGTCACGGCCAAGGCAATCACAGTATTTGCAGGGAGGGCCGAAGAAGGCTTTGGTGATGGGCTTTGTGAGCGTACTCATGAGGGTTTGCCATCATGGCTTTGTGACCCCCCCCCCCCATCTCAGGGCCACGGTTTCTCATGGGAGGACGAACTTGGCCTTGCCTAAAGACTTGTTCCAGCTGCGGTGACCTGAGACCATGCCACCTGTCTCTAGCTGAGCCTTTTCAGTGCTGGAGGCCTGATGACAACATCCACATCTCTTTCAGCCAAGGGGGCTCCAACAATCCACCATATGAACATAGTCAGAGACTGGAATTTGGTTCCAAATGACCCATTTTGCAACAGCTCAAGAATTTCCAGTTGTGTCTGCTAACGAGCATAAAGTCCAGAAGTGGAACAGCGCTGTGGGACATCTGCAAGTGAGTTATGGAGGCACTGTCGGCTTTGCCAAGGGAGGGGGCAGGCCAGCATCCACAGAAATAGACAAAACAACTCCAACGAGGTCCAAATTGCACACTATAGAATTTTTAAAACTTTGCTCGGGTGAATAACCTCTTTTGTGTCTGGCTGCCATTAAGCTGGACACAGCCATAACTCCATTCTGCTGGCTGCCTGCAGCCCTCAATGTGGTCTTTGTCTTGTCAACACAGAGCCCTTTGGCCTCCGATTCTATTGTTTCGATTAAAATGCCAGAATTGGTCTCCGGATCGCTATTGATTTTATATCCTCTTAGAAGGGGGGAGGGGGTGTGAAAGGTAAGCAGACTAGCCAGCCCAGGTGTGAGGAAGGCACAGCATTTCCGGGTGGGAAGGTAGAGGAGGAGGACGGTCCAGGGTGGCGTTGCTAGAAGATTCTCTCCTGCATCAATCCGGGGAATGAGGTCTTCATGCTCGAGTGGGGAGCCAGGCTGCAAAGAAGAATGTGTGTTGGCATCTCTTGGAATGACCTCAGTCTCTGAAGGAACCCTTCCAAGCTGGACATTTCTGAAGAGTGATAACCCCAGATCGGTGTGCTCAACCAGTGGTGAAATATTATCCTCTCTCCTCTTCTGGCCGGCATCACAATGAGGAGGGAGGTGAGGTAGCCCCACTGGCTGGGTCACTTCCCAGTTATGTGAAGTTAGGCAAGTCTGGTCATCTCTCTGAGCCTCGGTTTCCTTAACTATAAAATGGGCTTACTAAATCTATCTTGTAGAATCATTAGAGGGTGAAATGACTGTATAGGACTGTCTAAGAAACTACGTTAAGACCAGTAGGGTTTTCATTGTTGTTATTTAATGTCTTGATTCAATATTAAGACGTTGAGACGGCCACTCTATCCATCTCGGTTTTCTCAGAGAACTTTCTTTTTACCTTCACACTGGACCTTCAAACCCTTGGTGCCTTTCACTCCAAGAACCACTGGTTTTCCATCATTATTTCCTCCATCTTTGGCACGGCGCCTTCCTTTCCTATCTGATCGGTGCTCCCAAACTCTCTCTGCCTCGACATTCACTGAGTGCCTACTCATACATAATCTATACGCCAGGCCCTCCTGCGAACAACACAAAGATTTACACCCTGGTGGAATTTACATTCTAACGGAGGGAGAGAGATGACAACTAGAACACATGCGTAACTTATACAATTGGTTTAAAAAGCAGTAGGTGCCAAAAGGAAATGAAAACTAGAGCCTGGAAAGGGGCCCGAGAGCGTGTGGGAGGAGGGGCGGCAGAGGGTGGCCTCATGGACTTCCCGGCGCAGGGCTGGGAAGTCATGCTGGAGTGCTCAAGGACAGGAAGGAGGCCAAGGTGGCTGATGCCAGGTGGGACAGAGGTGTGAGAAGACAGAGGCCGGAGCAGAGAAAGCAGATCGCGCAGGGCTTGGTTGGCCACTGTAACGATTTGGTGTTTGACTCTGCATGGAGTGGGGGCGGGGGGCGTTGCAGGGTTTTGAGCAGAGGAGAGACATGGCCTGACTGACCTTGTCTTACCTCGTCTCCTGGGTCTGTGTAAAGACGAGATGGTAGAGAAGGAAGGGCGGGAACAGAAAGACAGAAGTCAAAGACGTCCCCAAGGGTTTTGGCTGAACAAGAGGAGGACGGAGGGAGCATCAGCTCAGCCGGCGAAAGCTGTGGGTGGAGAGAGTTTTGGGGAGGGGGAGATTAGGAATTTGGGGTCTGTTGGCTTTGAGATGCCTGTTAGATATCTAAATCAAGATCTTGAGTGGGTGTTTGGATATATAAGACCGAAGTCCAGAAAAGAGGTCTGAGCTGCAAATATAAATGTGGGAGTCATCAGTATATAGTTGGTATTTAAAACCGTGAGACTCGATTGCCAGGAGCCTTTCTTCCCACAGTGCTTCTGCTAAGTCCATAAACCAAACCTTTCCGGGGGACAAGTAAGATCGCACAGATAGTTATACCTCAGACCTGCTTCGTCGCCCCCACCTGCCAATGCAGGGCCCTCAGCCCCTGAACATGTCCCACTGCCCTGTGATACTCGTGGGGGTTCTGAGGTGATGCCTCATCATGCTTATAAATAAGTCCCCCCCCATCCCCAGCCCGTCCCGTTCCTTTGCCAAGTCTCAGGGTGCCCGCCTTGGCCGGGTACCACTGCTCTCTGCCCCACAGGCCCAGTGTCCCGTAAGGCAACGTTGGCATCTCTCAAGGTCAGGAAGGTAGGGATGCACGGAGCTAACGAAGGAGGCCTCAGAGCCTCCTGGAAAACTATTCATCAGATGTGGTACGTAATGTGCCCTATATATGGGAAGCTGAGACACAGGAAATGTGGAGGAGGAGGTGACAAGGATTTCTAGGGGGACACGGCTGGAAAGACAGTCCATATGCCCGGCTCCCTCAGCTTACACATCCCACACCTGGTGAACAAGCAACTCCAGGCCAAGGGTTCCAAATGATGGTGTTTATTAGACCTTTATTCCTTTCTAGGCGCCTCCCCCAGACCTCCAGAATCGGAATGTAGAAAAGTAAGCCTTGGGAAGGACCTCGAGGGGCCTCCAGGTCAAGTTCCATCTCGCCCCAAGTGTCCCATGTTGACCCTGGTTCAGTCCTTGGTGGCCACGGAGTATCTCCTCCGTGCCGGGGAATGGCCACATCCCGTGGCAGAGTACAAAACTGTTGAAGACACGGGCTCTGCCCTCAAATAGCTCAAAGACATGAAAAGAAAAAGACAAATTAGAACTTCATGAGTGAATGCAAACCAGTGAAATTATGGCTCTCACTAAGGCAATGCCGCTGAGAGCCCATGAATGCTGCACTCTGGAGGGGCTATGAGATCATACAAGGGCGATGCCAGTTTCTGTCATCCACTGGCCAAGAGAATTGCAAAACGTGGTGTGGACGTTGAGCAAGGATTCAGGCTGGGCCGAGGGGGGTCAGCCTCTCGCCCCGTCTGCTGATTTGGTGGGCTGGCAACGTCCCGGGGAGGGGGCGTTGTACGGGGGAGAGCGCGTTGGGAAGGGGTCTGCGCATAGACGCCGGGAGCTGAGCTGAGCAGCCGTGGAGGAAGACAGCATGATCCCTCTCCCTGGCCCAGCCCCTGGCCCATGTCGTGTGGTGCAGCTGTTTTCACAGGGGCTGTTTGGGAGCCCAGTTGACACAGTGGCCCGCAGAGTGGAGGAAGCATGCATTTCTCCCCTGCCTGGGTCCCACAAGAACGCGGAGTCATCATGATGGGTGTCCATGAGCAGCGTGCAAGGGTGAGGGAAAGTTGATGCCAGAGTGGGGGTGTAATTCCCAGTGGAGATGGTGGGCGAGAGCTGATGCCCCCGTGGTCATGGGCGATTGTTTTCAAGTGGCAAGAGGATAGACTTCTGGAGAATCTGCACGAGGCCTTTCTTGTGGATTCCCGGAAATACACTTCCTGGGGGCAGACATCTTGGAGGGGAGGTCCTTACATCAACAGAACAATCTGAGCGAACACCGTGGAGTACTGAGGTCTTTCGCGTACCAACGAACTGATGAAGCTAGGGAAATTGGGTGCCCCAAAGGGACCAGGACATTTGGGGGGATGAGAGACGGGGTTAAGCCTGAGTAAAAACGTCTGTGCGGGCTTGTGTTTGTGGGAACGTGAGTGGCCAAGGAAGGTAGAAACAGCAGCCATAACCCAACGGTTCCTAGAGAGACACTCTTTGGTTATCTGAGGGTCTGAAAGTCCGTATGAAGTAGGAGGTACTCGGTGAGGACCAGCGTGGGTGGAGTGCGTGTGGAACCCGCTGGCCCTAATCATACTGCTTATCCAAGACCCTGCAAGAGGCTGGCCCCCCCCCCCCCCCCCGCCCCGGGAAGCCAAGCACGGACTGATGCCCTCTGGAGACGAAGCCAGGGAAATCAGGGCCCGGAACCCAGGCACTTCCCTGAGCGGGGAGCTCCCTAAGAAGACGAGACCAACAGCCCACTTGCTTTCCTTTGCCAGCAACAGGGGGTTCCGTGATGGGCATCCCGGGGGCTCATTCTGGGAGGAGCTGGGGCAGGGGGCACACCCTAGGCAGCATTCCTGTTATCATTTATTCTAGACTCTTCCTCTCCCATCTCAGTGCTTCCTCCTTTCCTGGCAGGGAAGCTCCTGCGTGCTAGGGTAGCTGTTCCAGGAGATAGGCAGCAAATGGGCTTCAGAGAAAAATTCCAATGCCGTTAACGATTCCATTTCCTCTCCGTTCTGTGACCGAAAGTGCAATTGGCAGGAAACCTGAACCCCCCAAGTCCCGACAGAAGCTGGAGGGCCCTGTGATCCGTGGGTGAAATGGCAGGGCACCCCCTAATTTGTTCTGAGCTTCCTGAACGCTGCGGGGAAGGCACTGGAATGGTAGTTTCCTCTGACACACAACAATAAAATAAAGTAAAAGGTTGGGACAGAGATTTAAATGAGAATAAAATGCCAATTAACTCAGAGGTGTTGGACGAGAATCTGTTTCTCAGAAGAATCACCGGTCACACTTGGTGGATCAGTTTCAATTTACCCCAAAGCACTGAACGGCCACGCCGGGGAAGCAGGCCTCAGAACAATCCAGAACTCGGTGCCAGACCCACTACTTATCACTTTAATTGACACTTACTCCATATGATGCTCATACATTCACCGAGTGGGTTCAATTTAATTTGAAATGGGGAATTTTGTCTTTCCCCTATTGAAATATTTAATGCAGCGGGCTTTGAAGCCAAAGAGTTTCGATGCTAACGTTCCGTCACTCCTCTGTTTTGCTTTAAAGAATATAAAAGACCCCTCCGACCTGGATTTATTTTGAAAGTTTTTTCTTCTTCTTCTTCCTCTTTTTTTTTTTTTTTTAACCAGCTCTGTAATTACAAAGCCTATTGATCTATACCTTTTCTTTTGGTAGGTGATGGGATGGGTGGTTAAACACACACACACACACACACACCCCTCTCTCCTTTGCCATCTATTCTGTGGCTCTCGGAATTAAATTAACGAGGGCGGATCTATTGGAAAGAAGCCATCCTCAGAATCAGGGCTGTGATCAGGCACTCTTCCGCCATGGAGCTTGTGTGTTTCTCTCCCAGTTCACCCACCCCCAGTGCTGGGCTGGGGGGGGGGGGAAGCGGGGGGGGGGCGAGTGAGCGAAGGAGGTGACTCAGGAGAAGGACGGGATGCTCAGGAAAGCAGGTGGGTTCTCCCCCGCCCCGTGTTTATTAGCACTGACAGACGGAGTGCAAGAACATCGTTCACCCCGAGGTGTTACATACTGATTCACTGACAGGCAATTATCTTTGGAGATAGTGTTAAAACACAATAATTAATTGGAAGAGCAAGCGAATGAGTGGTGGCCCCAGGCCGAGGCAGAATGGTATTTCTAAAAAACGCTCTGTGAGGCTGGTAATTTAGCCTCAATGGGTCATTTGATTTCACCACCGCCCCGTCCTGAAACCTTTCAGGCGCTTTGTTTTTCAAAAGCATTAGCCTTGAATGTGTCTCAGACGTCGTTCAAGTGCAGACCAACCTCCCATAGCAACTTTCCAAAATGGTGCCTGGCAATAGAGAAAAAAAGAATCACTGCCTTAGCAAAGATGTCTCACACAGCCCCGCTTTTGTGATGGTACAGGCTGGCAGCGTGTCTTTGTTTCAAACCGAGGCTGACACATGTCCGCCTCAATAAAACCTTCTCACTTCAGCTGACGGATTTGGTGGGAACAAGAAGTTCACACGCCAAAGCCTGGGCTGACCCCGGTGACCCCCCCCCCCCACCAGCAGGGGGGAGGAGCGCATTGTTGGATCCTTTTACTAACAAGCACTGAGGAGTGTGAGCTTTTCGTTTGCTTGTTTTACCATGGTGACATCCATTGACCTATATTTGATATTCTGCATAATATACATGCGTCAGTGATCACACATGTGATTGAGAAGGGGGAAGGACAAGGAAGGGAGGGGTGGAGGAAGCATTTTAAGGCCGGGCAAGAACCTGCATGGCTTAGAGAGGATCCTTCCATTGCAAGGGGGCAGCAACCACCTGGATTTGACTTAACAGGGGAAAGGGGGAGGTTTATTTGTGGGGCACACGATCTCTAACAGAAGCCAAGGGAAAGCAGGCTCCCTGACCTCGGGAGCCGATCAGAACAAGAACTGCTGTCCTTCCATCTCCCGCTTCATTTTCCTCTTGCCCTTAGCTCCACCCTCTAACCCTCTGGTCCGCATGGTGACGCACAACCCCGAGTCCCAGGAACCAGGTCACGTGCTGAAGGTGCGTCCACGTGAAGAGGGTCTCACCCACGCGCCTCATGGATAAGATCCCCAAGTCCCGGACAACGGTTTTGATGGGTCTAGCTGAAGTTAGGGGCCCGTCTAAGCAACCGCATCTCCAAAGCTCCTGTCAGATGATGGAAGGTCTGGAAATTCATGAGTGAGATGCCGTGACACCACCTAATTTGCTGCAGGGACGTGACCGGAAGTGGAAAAATAAGAATAAAGTAACATCAAGTAGAGGGTAAGTCACTTTGGACCAAATGGCTGTAGACGTGTTGGGGCAGTCAGGGGTTCAACGTGAGTTAAGAAAGGTATCCAAAAAGTTGCATTACAAAACAAATTATTTCTAACTAAAGAAAAATACTGGGGAACATTTAGTCCTATTTCTGCTGAATTATTTAGAAAAAGCTCAACGAGCAGAAGTCGAGATTTAGTGGTTGCTTGCCACCTGCCCTAGAAAGTGTCTCCCTCTTCTTCGTTCTCCAGGAGAGGCATTTACGGTTCCCTAGCATCCTGCATTTCCATTTCTGGACATCTACATAACCCTTGGCCTAAAAAGTTTAGGAGAGCTGGACTCTTTCGCCTTTCCTTCACCGGCTACGAAGGAATTATTTAATTAGGGTATTGTAGAAGTCAAAACTGTCTGAGTCACACGTGATCAAAACCAACTTGTGGGGCGCCTGGGTGGCTCAGTCGGTTGAGCGTCCAACTTCGGCTCAGATCATGATCTCACAGCTTGTGGGTTCGAGCCCTACATCGGGCTCTGTGCTGACAGCTCAGAGCCCGGAGCCTGCTTCGGATTCTGTGTCTTCCTTTCTCTCTGCTCCTCCCCCACCCATGCTCTGTCTCTCTCTCTCCTTCAAAAATAAATAAAAACAGGGGCGCCTGGGTGGCGCAGTCGGTTAAGCGTCCGACTTCAGCTCAGGTCACGATCTCGCGGTCCGTGAGTTCGAGCCCCGCGTCGGGCTCTGGGCTGATGGCTCAGAGCCTGGAGCCTGTTTGCGATTCTGTGTCTCCCTCTCTCTCTGCCCCTCGCCCGTTCATGCTCTGTCTCTCTCTGTCCCAAAAATAAATAAACGTTGAAAAAAAAATTAAAAAAAACAAAAATAAATAAAAACATTAAAAAAATTAAAACAACAACAACTTGTGATCGATACAATGGCACATTGTTACGGGGAAGGCTTAGAGGGTCATGGCCGTATCCAGAAGAAATCAAGAGCCTTAATAAGGGCTCTCTTTTTACCTTCCTTCTTCTCCCAGATGATAACCCTCATGTGTGGGCTCCAGTCACTCCTACCGAGGGCCTTCTTCTGTGCGGTCAGAAAGGATGAGCTCCAGGAACCGCAACTTCACATCTCCCTGACATGCAGGCTCCCGGCAGAAAGCAACTGCAGCAGGCAAGTCCTTGCAAGATTCTGATTGGCCTAGGTTGGATCACATGCACACCTCTGAACCAATCACGATACCCAGGGCTCGCCCCAGGTCAGAGTTTACCCTCGTGGTGTGGGAGGGGCCAGGGCGCCATACTGGGGCGCCTCCTGGACCACGAGGTGTGTGGGAGGGATGGTTCCTCCAAAGGAAGGGCTGTGTGCCCAGAACAATATCCAACCACCATGAGCATTCATTTCGTGTTTTATGTCGGACACTGAAGAGGCACATGCAGGGCCAAGAAATAGCTTTGGTGCCAAGATGTTGGGACTCCCAAGAACCCATCTGGTGGTGCTTCCAGTGCGCATGGGCCCTTGGCCACCCGCCACCAGACGCGAAGAGCTCAGACGCCCGTGGAATTAGCAAATGGATCTTCTGATAATGAACCTCCAAGGTTCGGGTTAATGTTACCTTCATAGGCTCTTTCCTCTGATCTCTCCTGAAAATAGCCTCCCCTTCTGTGAGGGGATCTGGTGGGCTATAATGATGGGACAAAAAGGAAAGGAGGGAGGAATAGGGAATTGCGGGGGGAAAGGTGTCAGCGGGCAAGATTTTGTTTCGTTTGCTTGTTTTGGTTTTTTTCCTGAACTTTTTAAGACAGTTGTGCGTATACGTGTCATTGTCAGAAATAATCCGGGCGGGGTGGGGGGAGGGGAGAAATAGGTGATGGGGATTGAGGAGAGCACTTGTTGGGATGAGCACCGAGTGATGTATGAAAGTGCTGAATCACTTTGCTGTGCCCCCGAAACTAATATTACACTGTATGTTAAGTGACTGGAATTTAAATAAAAACTTTAAGAAAAGAAGGGATATGGGGAGATCTTTAAACCCTTCACCCAGTTTCCCCAGAGGTAACATCCTGCATCCCTACAGTATGGTATCACCAGCAGGAACCCGACCTTGACACAACCCATGGATATTATTCTGATTTCACCAGTTTTACAGGCACTCATTAGAAGCCTGGGTCGTAAGCTGTATGAAACTTTCCCCCAAAGTTACCTCTTGAAGCTGGGCTGGATATGGTGCCCACTGCGAGCGCAATAAAGTTTTCTAAGTCTCTGTATCCGCATGCCTTCCTGTAACGCTCAGACCCAATAAGATCACACCTCGGAGGAAGAGTGGAGAGACCGTCTCCACGACGGAATGTAAATAGGCTGTTTATTTCTGTAAATTACAGAAAGTTTTGGATTCCCGATGGAGGAACTTGGGATGTACCCAACAGGCATTGGCAATACATGGGCAGTACTTTGCGCTTTTCGGCAGGGTGGAGGGTGGCTCGGAAGGGAATAGGCTGGAGGAAGGGAGTTGTTTAGAAAGCAAAAGTGGGGGCGCCTGGGTGGCGCAGTCGGTTGAGCGTCCGACTTCAGCCAGGTCACGATCTCGCGGTCCGGGAGTTCGAGCCCCGCGTCGGGCTCTGGGCTGACGGCTCGGAGCCTGGAGCCTGTTTCCGATTCTGTGTCTCCCTCTCTCTCTGCCCCTCCCCCGTTCATGCTCTGTCTCTGTCCCAAAAATAAATAAACGTTGAAAAAAAAAATTTAAAAAAAAGAAAGCAAAAGTGATAGTTGAGACGAGATATAGCAAAGGACTGAGGCAAAGCTGTGGACGTCAACAAAAGGGGACACGCTGGGGAACTACAGAAGAATCGGACAGTGGGCAGACCTTCTCACTTGGTTGTGATTGTGTGTGTGTGTGTGTGTGTGTGTGTGTGTCCGCGTGCGTGTGCATATCCACTAATGACCTCTGTTTGTTCTAGGACACACTCCAGGATCCCATATGGCATGTGGATGGGCTTTAGTTTTGATTCCTTCATTTTGAGAAACAGAGAGGACATCTGAGTAGAATTTTCCCTTGAAAGCACAGGCGATCTTCTCCCTGGGGCCGGCTGCATGTGACAGGAAGGTAGGGGAGGGTTGGCAAGAGTCGACCTGCCCAGGTTTTCGTTTCCGCTTTATGAATTGTTCGAAATGTTACCTCTCTGCACCTACCTGGGAGGATTTTGCAGGGAGTCGTGCGTAAAGTCAGGTGAGGCATCGTATGACCCTCCAAGTCCCCTTGCACCTGCTAAGGTGCCGAATCGGAGGGGGGCTCAGAAGAGCTGCCGTGTGGCCAAGGACACGCAGCTGGCGGTGGCCAAGGACATCTCCCAAGTCTGCTCCCGTCGTAGCGGGGGGGGGAGGAGCCCCCTGGCCTGCTTATTTTCTCTACCGAGGTAGATATGGCCGCAGAACTGTGATTGCCTTTGGCTCTCTAGACGTGCCCGCTCAGTGGCCGACATAAAGGAGCTGCTCATTATGTAGGGGTGGAAAGAAGGGAGGGGAGTGCGGGAGAAACAAGTAGTCTGAATCCCTAGAACTCAAATCATGAGCATTCGGGGGCTAAATTAATTGCTTGAGTCAGGATTTAATTAGGATTTAAAACAACGGCTGTTTTATCTCGAACACCAACTGCAGATGACGGCCCGCGGTCCGGTTACCTGCCGGAGACCGTACGCACTTAAGATAAGCTTCCATAAACCGAAGGCGACAACGGACCGCATTTAGAAGGCAGGAGGAACCTCGTCAAGCCCTTAAGGAAAACTCGGCCGATGGCTCGTACCTGCGGACGAGGCTGGCGACGGCGGACACAGCAGAAGCCCACTCGCTAAGACTGGCCGTCAGGAGAGCTGGGATTGAGCCATGGCGGTTTATTAACCATGTGATGTTGCGCGAGTCCCCTACCAGGGTCTCCGCGGCCTCGTCCCGGAGGTGAGGATCCCTTCCAGCCGCCTAGATCCCTGCCAGCCGGAAAACTGTGCCGACCCACGAGCACACTTGGGCTTCCAGGCTTCCGCCTGAGACTCAAAGAACGAAGGCAGTCAGAATTCTTTTCGTCTGAGTCCCCAGCGCGGTCTTTGGGTGCGTTCTCTTTACCCTCTCTGGTCTCTCTTCCGCCGCTCTGGAGTTCACGGGTCAGGGAGGGAGAGCGCCAGTACCTGTGTCTGCCTCCTGCACGGAAGGTCGTGACCATGGGCCTACATGGGATGCAGTCCTCGGTGACCGGCGCCCGGCCGAGGGCGGGCAGGGAGTAGGCCTCTCCAGAGAGGGGGCAAACGGGTGGATGGAGGCACGAACGCCCCGCGTTTGCATCAGCAGCTTCCTTCCTGCCCCTCAGCCCTGAGAACGCCTTTCTGTACCGACAGCCACCGAGCAGAAATGGTGGAGGGGCTACCCCCCCCCCCCGCCGGCACCCTTAGAGAAGAAGGAGATCTACCTTTTTTAGAACGAGATACAACGCGGTCTCGAATCCGGCGCTCCCACCTGCCAGCTGTGTGATCTCGGCCAAGCCGCTTAACCGCTCTGGGTCTCTGTTTCCTCCTGCGTAAAATGGGGAATTATGCTGTCTCCCTCTTGGGGCTGCTGTGGGGATTAGAGATCAGCCGTGGGAAGTGTCTAACACAGGGCTTGACGTGCAGCTGGTGATAAAGCAGCAGGTGCAGGGCGCGGTGTTGCTGGCTCTTACGTTCACCGCCGCGAGGTTACCCATGGCAGCTGCCGTCTGGCATTCTTTTACAGACGGGGGCGAAACGACAGCTCAACGCCATAGTTTACGGGGGCTGGAGCTGATTCTAGAACGCAGGATCCAGAATCCGGGTTCTAGAACCTGGAGCGGTCACCCTCCCAAGGAGATCCCCCCTTTGTCTTTGGTGTTCTGGCGTTTCCACTACACTGAGTGGCGTGGATTTCTCTCTCCTTTTCCTCTCGGGCCACAGCGAGATGGGTACGTGGCCCGGAGGCCCTTCCCGATGCACCTCACTGACTCGGGCACAGGTGCCATCCTTGGGCCTCGGTGTGGGGAAGCAAGGCCGTGAGGCTTCTGGTAAAGTCGGTGTGGCTGTGGGTTCCCCTGTGTGGGGGCAGCGAGGACACTGGACGCCCCGGAAGCAAAGGGGGCGTGGCCTCGGATAAGCAGTCGCAGACAGCGTGTCTGGTCGGATCCCGGGAGACGGTGGCCCGATCTTTTCTGCCCTGCCACTGGGGTTTGGGAGAGAAGAGGTCCCGGTGAGTCAGGCTTCAGAAGGCTGTGCCCCAGGCCTCCTCCGAGGGGACAGCTACCTGGAGCGGGCCCCGGGCTCCAGACGGCAGAGCAGAGGAGGCCCAAGAGGGCCGCTGGATGTGCAAAGCAGGCTCCATAGAGGCTGCGAGACGGCTCCCGGGCCCCTCCCTTCTCTCCCTGCACCAGGCCTCCTGCCAGCTGCCCAACAGAGGTCCCTGCACATCGGCCTTGGCCTGGGAGACAGAATGGGATTCACCTGCTCTAAAAAGCGACGGTCTCGACTTGCCCAAGGTTACACCCGCACTTAGGGTCACAGCCGTGATTTGGGGTGTTCCCGGAGGGACAACATTCTCGTCCTGCCCGCTCATTCCCAAACGGCCTCCAGTCCCACTTCCAGCTCCGTGCCCACGCGAGGTTGTGCTCAGAGGTTCGGATGGCACAGGAGCAAGACATCTGTCTCCGCGCTCTCAGGAAATGGCTATTTCCCATCACCGTATCGTCATCTAAAAAATGCAGAGCCCCACAGATGAATCTGGCCTCTGCTGCTTGGGAGCCACAAGACTCCGGATGAGGCCAGGAAGCCCAGACCGCACAACGAAGGCGACGACGCTCATTATCCTACCTGCCCCCCTTCTCGCGGCCCCCAAGGTGTGGGGACACACACTGACTGAAGTCACAGCAAACGGGGCTGGCGCTGCCCTGGCCGCCGAGAAACACACCCACTGCTTTCAGAGCGCCTCTCCTTTCTAATGAAAGGCCTCCCGTAATCTCTGTTAGTGCCGCCTCTGCTGGAGCATGAATTATTCAGAGAAGTCTCTGTTCCCTTATCTCCCCTCCCCGGGGACGCCCCTACCATTGTCCGCCCTGATGGGTCATTATGCACTCTGTGAATTTAATCTTTCAGGCTATCCGGCCCCGCGCAG